TGTGAGCGAGTAAGGGTATGGGAAATGTAAGAAGTAATCTGTGAAAACATAAAAGAATAACATATTTGATGAGGGAAAAAACTGAACAGCACTTTCATCCCCATCTTGGGTTCAGAATGTCACAGGACATTCAAGGAATAAAGTAAATAGCTCACTTGAAGAATTCTTTTCACTGAACTTCAGTTTCTTCCTACTGGGTTAGAGTTAGAGTTGTTTGGTTTCTTTGGGTAAAATAGTGGGGGACAACTCTTTAAAAAGGTGTCATTAAGCACAGAAATAATTTTCCATTCACATATTATTATTGCAGTGTATGTACTGCCAGGTAACATTTAAATACATATATTAAAAATATCACATGTATTTGTATATTTATGTATGGATAAAGTGGAGGAAGGAGCTTAAAAGCGATTTCCTCTTCCCCATTTTTCACTTTAGTATGTTTCCTGTAAATGAATTGCCTCTGCTCTGGGGATGTGCCTGCATGGGAGCCTCTGCAGTGTTCTATACGAGTGCTAGGTCCATACAGCAAAATCCATTAAAAGACCAGGGATAAAGGATGTAAGCATGTAATTAGTTTTATGAATGCAAATATTCCACTGACTTTCTGGGAGACTCCCTGCTCAAGATGGCAAATTCACTAAGCGTGCGTGTAAACCTTTTCAAGTTTCAGCTTTTTAACTATAAAACCCTTGGCATTTATGTAAATATGTATTGAGCACAATACATTTCAATCCCAGTGGAACTCTCTGCATGCTCACATGGTCATCCTAACTATTAATATCTTTATCCTTTCTTTGTAAGTGCTGCTCTCTTCAGAATTAACATGATAAATGAGTCACTTGCAAGAAATGCTAGAAGTTGGTTCTGGTGCATATTTCTTTTTCCCTTTCATCTTTGACCAGAATTAGGTATTCAATTAAGAAGTTTAATTACAGTACAAATATGGAGGGGTAGTGGAGCCTTTAAAAATGGAACATGAACAGTATCTCACACTTGGAATACGCCTGTTTTACTTGCATAGTATGTGCTAAAAGAAAGATTTGTATTTGAAAAAGTGGAAAGTGCCTCGTGACTCTTTTGTGTAGAAAAATTAGATGGTTCCTCTGTGTTATATATAGGTCACCAGTTGCATGGGGTTCAATTAGATCTTCATGGGTCTTTATAAAGCCAAAAGCCATATTTGTAACTGTTGAGTTGCAAGGAAAAGGATTTTCAACAATGTCTTCAAGGCAAGTACAGGAAAAGAAAGTAACCTAAACAACTGAGCTGGTAATCAAATATTCATCACAAAAGAAGGGGCAAGCAAGGAGTTCACTTTGGGTCAGGGATCTAAACAGCACAGATGCAGCTAAGCTTATTACAATAGGGTACTCAACTGTGAGTAGCAAACTGGGTTCTGAAACACGTTTAATTTTTCTTGAAAAATAAAATACACTGCACATTGTGGTCATGCAATCTTCTTAGGCTTAATTGTTTTTTGTGTGTATGAGCAAGGAAAATAAGATTTCCCTCCTGTTACTGCTTTGAAATCCTTTGCTCATCCCTGTGCTGAGCCATGAAATACGTGTTTCTAAAATGTATTTTATATAACGGGGAGAAGTCCATCAGTTCTATGTTTGCAGATATAGTTAAGAACCTGTTTTGGAGAGCTCCAAGGAATAAATTAAGAGACCATTAAAGGTCTTTATCAGTTATGCCAACAAGTGCCTTCCTGTATGACCGATTCCCTTGATCTTCCTGCAAAGAACTACCCTGCCTGAGGCAGAACAGACTGCCTCAATGTCTGTGTCATCCATCTGTGGCAAAAAGCTCTAAGGCCCGCATAAGGCTAGAGACCCTACCAAGTCAGTGCAGTCAGAGCATATGGCTATCAATCCGGCCAACTGCCATAGCTACAGTCCAGGTGACTGTGTACTCATTCATCACGCTCACCTGGTGAGGCAGCCATTTGCACAAGTCCTCTGAAAGACCCAGTCATTCATGGCTTTAACTATGCAATTCAAGCCCTATATGTACATAACTGCTTTTATCTGAGAAATACCTTGCTTGAAAAATAGTATCTCTTGCAGAGCCAAGGAGCAACTGTAGATGAAGTTGTGTAGAAGAAGGACCAAAGAGATCAACAGCACCACAGACCAGAAGTTTGCAAAGGTCTTTTTCATTCTTTCAGTATGATCTAAAGACCTGAGATAGAAAAAAAAAATAATGTAATACTCCTTCAGCTTCAGAGGTTGAGGAACTGTTTGTGATTAAACTCTGTTATTCATTGTAGTATTGAGCCTGCGTGCTAACCGTTTTGGAAAGGAATGAGACACCAAAAACTCCGGTATTAGCATCAAAAAAAGAAAATAAGGAAAAACAAACAAACAAAAAAAAAAAACCCCACTGTTAGTGCCCTACACTAAAGTAGGATTGCGTTGGGAAGAGTAAATACTCTTTATAATTTTGCTGCTGAGGATCACAGTGTTGCACATTCTTTAAGAAAGGTTCCTCGTGGAACTGCATGACAGTTCAGAGTGGCCTTCAAATGAAAAAAGCTGTTTTCATAGACAACCTGTAATAATGCATATCCAGAGGAAAAGCATCTTCATGACTAGAATTCTTCTGCTATTACTTCACTACAGGTATGCCGTTAATTCTGTAAGTTTATATATTCATATCTCAGTACTACCTTGATTGAGGGCTATTGGCCTTCATTGGCTGAATTTAATTGCAGGAGACAACTGGCAACATTAGTTTTCAAATCATGTTTGGGGCATTCACCTACAATATAATTCTCGTTGCCACAGGAAATGCTTCATCATGTTGTGTCACTACTTTTGTCATACAGAGAAAAATGTAACTAATTTGTACAAAAGATGTAGTTCTAAAAGTAAAACTCTAGATGGGATCTCAGCCAGTGTCTCTCTCTGCTTTCCCATCCAATGGCATAGTAAAGACAGTGATGAGTTCTTTCAACACATGGAGAGAGGCGGTGGGAAGCCCCTCCCCATCTTTATTCATCAGTATAACAATGGTTTTCAATAATGTCCCCTTACCTTGGTTGAGAAAACGTGCTCTTGACAACATATAAAGAACACGGTGTATGTACCTATTATGTGATAAGACCTTCAACTTCCTTTCTGCAGTGTAAAAACATTTTGGCCATCAGGAGATAAGGATTAGCAGGACAGAGAGAGGCAAGCACTCCATGCACTGTTGTTCGACTCCTTAGACTGTGAGCATCCAGTAAGAACCTTACCCCTGCCTCTCACACAGGTGCCGGCTTCTTCATGTAATGACAAATACACAGTTTGCTGAGGTCCTTCTATGCTTATATTACTTAGATAAATCCCTATTCTTTGCCTTTTCAAACAGTATTATATAGCTAATATGTAAACACCTAGCAGTTCTGTAAGTTGTTGTGCTTAGAAGAGATCTATCAAGTTCTGTGTTTATAATTTGTCTTTTCTTTGTTGCACCTAACCCTAGGTTTAAAACCTTTCCAGGTACGGACTTGTTAGTTGTTTGTTATGCTTCACAACTTTATTGGCTAGCAGCACTGTATAGTCATATTCCTTCAGGGCTTTATATTTGGAAACATCATTTTGTGTAGAAATCAATCTAAGACAGTTATTTTGAGTTTATTTTCCTTGAGGATATGTATTTCAGAATTAATCTGTCTCTTTCAGATTTCAGTGATCTTTTGAATTAAATTCTGATTTGCTAATTCAGCAGAAAGTAGAGATTTCTGAGGGTCGCAGGACTCCAGTTATACCAAGTTGGATGCTAGAATTTTTTCCAATGTTCTCCTCTCTGTTGAAAGCATTGTATTGTTTCAGCCATCACTTCAAAATACTATGGTAAAAATGTTTATAATACTTTTTCTAATATTTGACAGCTGTCTCCTGCTACTTTTTATTTCCAGGGGATAGAGCGATTAATTAACTATGGAACAGCAGTAAAATGAAATGTATGTTACTTTCTTAATCCTCCAAGCCTAATATGCCTTTCTTAATGAATCCATCTGTCTTGAAGAAAATTGAGAACAGAGTTCTGAAAAAGAGCAGCAACAACACTAGTCCCATAGAGGAGGTATGGAGTATTTTGGAAGAGTAATTTGAGTGCAGTATCACATCATTAAACCCAGCAAAATGGTGAAGGAAAGGGTTGCTACAATCCATAGCCTGGACTGAGGTCACCGACTAATCTGACTTTATGACTACAAAAGATCCTAGACTGATGAGAAAGTGTCCTCTGATAGAGGTCAGCATTCCTCAGCCAAAACGGATCTTTCAGACTGCTGGAGGAAAAATGTGTTAGGACACATCACACAATAGCATGTGACCGTCAGCACTCTGAAACCTTTTGTGGGTTATAAAATGATTAACTGACCATTCAAATTCTAGAAATGTTGCATTTGTAGCAGCAATCAGCTCCTCAGAGAGGAGGCAGCAGAGTGTGAAACCTGAATTCAAGCAGCAGGGAAGGTTTAAAGTATAATTAAAACCAGAAATAACTTGCAGCTGCTAGAAATGAAATTCAAGGTTGGTAATGCAGCAATGTATGTATTTAAGTAGACATGTTTGCATGCACGTGTGTGTAATGACAATGGCAGAGTTCTCAAACAACAACAAAAAAAAAACCTGTTGCAAAAAGTGTTTGCCAGATATTATAAATTTCCAGAGTGAGCAGTATTAAGTATTCTCTGAGGACTTCTGGTCATAAACATTTAGAGTATGCACTTAGCTCATGCCAGTCAACACTACAAAGAAACACTACAACTAAGTTAGCAAAGTAGAGAACTCTTATTTACTGACCAAGTCCTGGTGATTCTTTTATCTGAGGTTCCAGTTCTGCAGCTTATATGGTAATACTCTTCACAATTTCAGAATGCATGCATCCTGTTATTATATTTTTATATTGAAGATTAAATATTTTATAGTGTATTTGCCTATTGAAGAAATTCTTTTACCTTGGGAAAAATAAGATCCTGCTATGAATTTCCTTTAACTTTACAGGAGGCTGTGATTCTCAGAACCAGGATCTCTCTTGGACATTTCAAAGGACTACACACAAGACTTGCTTTCTTCTCAAGGGACCTAAGATACTGTGTTTTGACTTTTAAGTCAGCCCTAGTATACGGATGTGGACTTCAGGTAGAATGAGCAATGCAAAGAACTTGTTTGGACTTGGGGTCTCCTTGTACTTTTGGGGACTGATGGACCTAACTACAACTGTGCTGTCAGGAAGTGCCAGGCCCCTCACTGAAGGGCCAGAAGACAACCTGTCAGACAAGTTGCATCAGCGAATGAAGAGGAGCTGGGTGTGGAACCAGTTCTTCGTTCTGGAGGAATACACGGGAACGGATCCTCTCTACGTTGGGAAGGTAAGAGCTGCCCCATGAGGATGTCTGGTAGAGTACATGCATTTGTGCACATGCAGACCGTGGCAAAACATGGGAAGTTTCTCTAAATGCATTTTTATTCCCTTCTTTCTGGCAGAGAATCTATTCACATTAATTTCACTTCAGCTCCCAAGAGCTTTTCAGCAGTGTCACCTTTAGCCATGAAGAATTTCCTTTTCAAGGTGCTGTCAATATATTTGCCTATTTCAAAGAGATCCGCTGTAACCATCATCAGCTGTAATTGAGGTAGTGTTAGAAAGTCTGCAGTGATCTTTCCAGGGACTCCTTCAATGTCAAGACAAAGCAAGGTTGTATTGACTCGAGAGGATTAGGAAGGAAAGGAAGTGTTTGTGATCATGCTTCTGTCTGTGATCAAGTCAGCTGGAAGATGAAATTCACAATCAAATGAAATAGCCAATATCTCTTGAAAACTGACATTTCAGTTTTTGTTTTCTGCAAATCTCTGAGGTCAGAGTATTTTCTTTCTTACCGCAGCTTGACCCCAGGTTAATTATGTGGACTAGAGAGAAGTAGAAGGATAGAGTGACAGCTTATTAAATACAACAGTACTATTTTCAGATCCCTTACACACTAAGAATATATACATCAGTACAAACATTTGTAAAATTGACTGCTATGCTCACCCTGTCTACCTGGCAGCATTTTGAATTCACTTTACTCCAGCTCCTTGAAGAACACGCTGATGGAAGTCAGGCCCGTAATGTCTGCCATCACAATCTACCTCACTATATCCATCCTCCTTTGTCTTCTTTCCCAACATTTGTAAAGACTCTGAACTATTTAAAGTATCGACCTGCTAATCAAAGTATTGACCAGCTATTCAAAGGCCTATGGGCAGCACTAGGTTTGCATTCATTAAAACCGAGCTGACAGATCTGGGAAGAGTGGGGAGGGTTAGTGTAGTGAAGTGTTTGAACAATGCAAATAAGATTTTACATGTCTAGGTGATGAGCACAGCCTAAATATAGGTAGATATGACAAATTAAGTGAAGAAGTGATGCCAGAAAACAATTCCTTCAGATTTCATTGCTTTCCTGCCAAGCTATCTGTCTGCAGAAAAAAAAAGAATCACAAATCCAAAGGCACATTTTGGACTTGCATTTATCGTTTTACAAATCCACAGAGTTAAACTGTGCCTTCAGTCATACCAGTATAAATCAAAATGAATGCACTGGCTTCAAAGGACCTCCTTCCAATTTATCCTTATGTGACTAACAGCAAGATGTGCTCTCCTTCCTTCCTCCCATAGCAGTGGAATTACTAGTGATTGCCATCAAATGAGACAACATTTGTCTTCATTCATCTCTGTGCCTAACTTTTCAGCTCTTGAGATCCCTATTGATTAAAGAAATTCTTATTTTCATGCAACTTATAACTTTGGAACGATGACCAAACACATTATTTTGCATACTCAATTTCATCTGAAATGAATCCAGATTTGCATTGTAAGCTGAATTTTAGCTACAAGCAGTACTGGAAGTACTCAACTCCTCTTTGCTTTAGACTTCTGGTATTAGGAACACAAAAACATGGCACATCCAGCAGTTCTCTTGAGCTTGTTCCCACTCAGTTCTACTGAATGGGGATAGCAGCAGTGGCATTTCATGGTCTGTATCCACTACATAAACAGCCAAGCTGCCATGAGTGAGCTCTTTTCTACACCATGGTTGGGTCGCAATAGGGGCGAGCTAGGGCTAATTAGCCCTCACGGTTAACAGGGCCAATTAGCCTTATGCACTGACAACCTGCTGGCTAGCTTGTTCCAACAGCCTTCTGAGTCTGTTTCGTGTACACCAACCATCATGGAATTGTGCTGCCAAAATGTCCTTTGGGATCCAAAATCTCATCCTCTCCCATCCCTAAACCAAGCTCAGAGCAGTGGGGTGAGCGCTGCAGCAGCTGCCAGGAGAGAAGGGCCTCCACTCTCTTCAAACGGCTGAAGACGCAGACCCTTGGAAGGAGCTGCAGCCTACCACAATCCATCACCACGCCTGCACCTGAGGGATCCTTAGGAAAGGGGTCAGCAGGGAAGAGGCTGTGGGCTGAATTAATTGTTCTGGCAGGACAGAAATTTTTCATCCCATATCACCCCAGGCAGGCTCAGAAATATCTCGTGCAGAGCTAGACGGAAACGGAGAAGGACTGCGGGCCTCAGTGCCAGCACCAGCCCTTGAAACTGCCCTGGGTGCCTGCTGGACAAACAGAGCTTCCTCTGACCCCTACGACCCACAGCACCCTGCAACATCCTGCTTGCCAGGCCTTGCTTTCATCCACCTGCTTTGCACAGAGCCTGAGGCAGATGGAAACAGCATACAGTGTGGGTCCAGATATATTTACTTCATGCTCTAAAGACATCTCATAAGGGAGGAGCTCCTCTGGTGCTCTTGTACAGCTGTTTCAGGCTAGCTACGTGCTGCTGAAGCAACCTCTAAATAGCTTGAGTCAAGCCCTGGGTACAGGCTTGCCTCATATGATTTTCAAGGCTGCTATAAAAAATGTACTTTCCTATGTACCTGTAAGTCATGGAGCAAAGTATCTATTGGGCAGGGAAATGAAAGGGAACTTCCTGAGGTGAAGTCAGTACAACTTTTGCTTTTCTCCAGTGCTCATTATTCTTATATAAAGTGTTTCAGCTCCAGAAGTTTCCATGTTGCAGATAAATATGAGGCTTGAGCTTTCTTATAGGTAACCACTGTTAGATAGTAGGACGAACTACGGAAACTACAGTCCTTGCATGTGCTGCAGCAGGTACTTTCCACATTTGTCTGGCAAATTAAACTGCTTCAGTACTTGAACTGGAGACAGACTTCACTGCTTTGCAGTGTTGGAGCTTCCCTAAGCCCTATTTCAAAGAGGCATTTGAACCACAGCAACTGAATGAGCGAATAAAATGCCTTCTTTCTACAGACTATCAATACATATTAACAAAGTGCTCTCATGCATCCTCACAAATTCCCCTGCAGGTGTTACCTCCCTGGAAGCTGAGATGGGAGAGCACATCACGGACAGAATCACAGCCATTCAGTGGGTCTGCGTGAGTCCTTCCCTGAGCTGCCCCCAGAAGCACCACTCTCTTGCATGTGCTCTTTGCCAGAAAATGTGCTGTTTAGGTGCAGGTACAGCCTCCTTAATCTTTGTACTGTCCTTATCAAAAGCAGCTCAGGTTGGCACAGGTAGCAATTTCTTTTATACAGAAGAGAAAGCACATTTAAATTGTTCCTACTTCTGAGCCAGCCCCATGGCAGCACAATCTATTACACCACCCATTAAACAGAGCCAGCTTAAAGCTGGATCACCTTTCCAGTACAGTCACTTCTACATACACTCCACCATCATGATATTGGGTTTGTCACTGCAATGGTGTGAGCTTCAGTTTCTGTGGACACCTCATTCTTTCAGATTTATTAGTCTGCATTTATTAAGTCTTTTTCTTTTTTCTTTTTTTTTTCTTTTTTTTTTTTTTTTTTTTTTTCTATGTCTTCAGGTTATATGAGAAGTTACAAATCTGCTGCTAGCATTTCTTATTGCCCAGTCTTAACTGAGACCTTGGTTGAGGCTTTTAACAAATCACAGTTAGACAGAGATCCTCTTGTACTCCTAAATTCTTATTAATGTGCCATGGTTGTTCCTTGTTTTTCTCCCTATATAAATGCTTTCATTCCAAACGAGGCTTTGAACAGAAGGGGTAATTTAACTCATCAGTTTTATTCAATATCTTATTCCAAGTCTTTAGAACTTTTCAGAACATCCGCTATTTTAAAACATGCTCTTTTTCTTTTTCCTTTTCCTTTTTTTTTTTCTTTCTTTATCATTTGTCTTTTCCTTTGGCTTTGCCCTCACTGTGACTTTTTCTTTCCTTTGTCTTTTTTTTTTTCTTATTAAATAATGACTTCTTGATATTCCAAAACATGTTTTCTTCCATCAGACCCAACTCTAAATTCCCCAGTCAGGTCTAACATCTGTAATTATCTGAGCAGCTGCACATACTTACCAATGTGCTTATTCACTAAAACAAATGCCTAAGATGTAGCTTCTGAATCAATTTGAAAACCTACATAGGTCACTCTGAAAGTAATGCCTCCTATTTATTTCCATGCAAACTACAATGGATGCAGAGAGTAAAATAACGCTGTTTGATAGAGCAAATTCTTAGCTACAAAATATTATTTTTCAGCATAGTCACCACTAACAGCTATTTCACCATTTTCACCAGCAATGAACAAACCTGCATGACACGCTTGTAAAAATCTGCACCAGTGTAGGTGAGCCACTGTTTAACAGCTGCTATGAGGGCATTGCTTCTGAAACACACCACTCACCGCCTCAGCGTGCTCACATCCACTGTTTGTTCTCCATAAACATGCAGCAGCCATCAGTGAATGTCACTGGGTGCCATTTTTTCCATATGGAGGAATTCAGTGACATACTTTTGTTTCATACACACTTCCATGTCAGGTGCCATTTGGTCAGACTGCCCCTCTGATGCCATCTATCACACTGTGAAAGCATGTACTAGAATGTTGGTGGGAAAGTTCAGCCTCTACTGCCATACCACCATCATCTGCCTCTGACCTCATGGGCCAACATGAGAAAATAGGAGGCATTACTTTGAGAGCAACTCTTGTATAACAGCTTCCTTCTTTTGGAAGTATGCTGTTTATGAGCGATGACAGTGATAATCCCTGAGCCATGAGTGTTTAGGGCAAATAATGACAACCACTGTTGTTTTTTAAATTAATCACAAAACGCTGTTTCCTGAAGATGTGCCAGTTTGCAATTCTGGCACCTGCGTGAGAAATAATACATATGGCAGTCATCTAAACGTAACTGTTTTGCCAATTTTTTCTGGGCTTGTTCTCCCTCCATTTAGCTGATACATCACCTGAGAGCTGCCAGCATTCCTCCTAAGGCCCGATACAGATTTCTCAGATACAGCAGCCACTGCAGAGACCGTGAGCAAAACGATGAAATGAAGTATCAATTACCTGACAAGGCAGTTGTCACAAGCACTTTAGAGCTTAGCTGTGGCAGATGGGTTCCTGCCTTTAACAATCGTTGTCAGGGCAATTGTTAAAGGTCAACGTGCCACCTAAGTACTCGAATGACTGGGTGTTGGTTGGCTGGTTTGCTTTGTTTTATCTATTCTTTATTCATTTCCAAATACCATAATCACAATTCAAAACAACATTCACACCTCAGCTGTTCCTTCAAGTTCCTCTTGATTGTTGCACCTCCTAACACCACCCTGTTGGTTAGGACTGAAACAGTTCTATATTCTCTGGGCACTGGTCAAGACTTTATGCTCTATTCCTCAAAACCATGGAAGTATCATACTGTTAAGCACTCAGATGGAAGTTAAGTGTTCTGTTTGTCTTTTGATAGTCATTCCAGTATTTCAGAGGAACCAGGTGTTTAACAGAATGGTAGTCCCTGGGATGATTTGTTTCTGTTTCAGATGATAATTTGCACAGCATTTACTTTTCCTCTGTTCTGTTGCATTCCCAGCTATCTGTGGCTGCTCAGAACTAATTAGCAGTCATGCAATAAATCCATTTGCTAATTCTCTAGAATCTCTGGGATACCTCTCATCTATATATCCTACAACAGACACAATGAAACGTTCCTCATTGATTACCTTACCTACTGCTTGACAGTAATTCTTTCCTGAAGATGTAATGGTCCAGCTGAATTTTTCTTGCTTTTCATGGGAAAATTTCAGGGGACTTTCTTTAGAAGACATCTGAATGATGGCACTCACTGAGTAGCTCTCCCATCCTCCTTTCTCCTTGGTTACAAAGAGATTTACTTCATCTGCCTGATATTATGCTACCCCCGCAGTATCTCTCTCCTCCATGAACAAGCATTGCCTATATTTTTGCTGACCTCTCCTTCTTTGGCAGTGAGTCTTTTTCAATGGCTACTGCAACCCGGCAAAGGATAATTCTTGTGCTAAACGAGATTTGAAAGAGGCACAGGGCCTGTTCCTTCACTGTAAAGTTCAGTAAGACCAAAATGCTCACGTGCTTTTGGAAGCTACTTGCCCTGCTCATGCTCTAAGTCAGTCCTGTTCCTTTCTACAGCTCCACTCTGACATGGACAGAGGAGATGGTTCCATCAAATACATCCTCTCAGGAGAGGGAGCTGGCATCGTGTTTACAATTGATGATACCACGGGGGACATTCATGCTATTCAGAGACTGGACAGAGAAGAAAGGTCACAGTATACCCTGCGAGCACAGGCTCTGGACAGACGAACAGGCCGGCCGATGGAACCGGAGTCTGAGTTCATCATCAAAATCCAAGACATCAATGACAATGAGCCCAAGTTCCTGGATGGACCTTATGTGGCCTCTGTTCCAGAAATGTCACCTGTGGGTAAGGCAGATTTTGTGGTTAGAGACAGTCTCCAAAACATCAATTCCTTGACTCTTTGGACTCTATGTTTGCTCCTCATAAAAGCTGCAGGGCAGGAGATCTTCCTCAGGGGTGCCTGGGTGCTGCAGGAGGAATGTAGGCTTTGCACCACCATCAGATGGGCACCTATGAAAGGAAAACATGTGAAAGGGAAATGGAGAGCTGAAGAAAGGTGTAATTTGAGCATGCTATCTGCAGACAACTAGCAGTAACGTAGTGCTGCTTCTCCCCTGCCCTCAGATGGTAGTATAAGTAATGACCATTAGACATCCACTACCAGCCAGGAAATTACGGTTACAGAAACCAATGCAAGTTCAAACTGAGAGCTGAAATGATGTCCAGAAGCCCTTGAAATTGCGTAGACACAATGACAATTTTTAGCAACTTTCCACCTTCTAATCCTGTATGCCTGCACTGAACGCTGTTCAGTCAATCCCAAAGATCCAGTACTGTTTGCTCTGCACTTCTAGAAAGTGAGATCATGCCAAAGACAGTCATTATTGCAGTGTAGCCAGAGGGCAAATAGCATCCTTCTTATCTACACATCAAGATAAACCATTATCCCATTATCATGTGACAATTCTAATAGTCACATTAAGTACTCTTTTTTACTGGATTTTTTTCTTTCTTTTGGAGAGGTATGTTCCTTTTTGGCTCAGTAGCACTATTTCTGAAATAATACCAAATAAATCACATCCTGAAGTTACAGATGTGTTCAACTCCTCATTCTTCAAGATAATGTTGGCATAAGGCTGGAAACAAGTACCAATTCAAAAATTCCTTTCAGAAATAATGTTACTTAATGTTAGCAGGTAGCTTGAATTCATGTTTATTTTGCAGTGTGTATCTAGTAATACTGGATTTGTTTCTAACACAAAACATGATGTAGAAGGCTAAATGCATTCATAAAAGCATTGTCTGACATTTTAAGGAGTCAAAACTCATATATTTCAAACAGTTATGTCTCACCTTCTCCTTCTTCTTGATAAATTACATCACCTACATGCCATTATTAGCTTCAGAGGATGCAGACCTTGAAAACTGACTGAAGGAAAAGTATATGCATCTGTGCAGAGCCCAGAAGGTACTTTTGCAGGGTGTAATCTGTAGTCCATACAACGTAAATTGCAGGGCTACAGAGAGGTTATCTGAGAGATGCATCCCTTCATACTCAGAATTTGTGAACAATTTCCATTCCTTAGTCAACATATAGCACCCATGGACTTCCTGCAGTAATCTGTGATTTCTTCTATAGATGTTATTTGAACTGATTTCAGATAACATTTTAAAGCAAGAAAGGGGGAAAAGAAACAAGTAGCATGTTACTAATAACTCCCTGCAAACCACCACGAAATGCTGTTAGGTCAGCAGTTCTGCACCCGTGCTCCATAGAGTTCTTACTCTTTTATATCTTCTTAAAGATGCTTAATGAATTTATGCCTATTAATTCCTTTAGTGCTATTGAAATACAAATGTGAGCAATAAATACAAACACCACCAGAACCAAATGTAGAGATTTTGTGTGGGAAAACTTGTCAAACATTTTGATATGAACTGTGTACTTTTATCCCACACGGTCTTCGTAATTTATTTATTTATTTCTTTATTTATTGTCAGGCACCTCTGTAATTCAGGTGACAGCAACAGATGCTGATGACCCAACCTATGGGAACAGCGCAAGAGTTGTGTACAGCATTCTCCAAGGACAGCCATATTTCTCTGTGGACTCTCGGACAGGTATGTTATTTCATTTGGGAATGAGCCAGTGTGAAAAATAAATGAAAAAAAAATTAAGAAGAAAGAAGAAGAGGTACGTCGTGACTGGATGCAGAAACTGGACAGCACAGCAGTGTGAGGTGGTTAAAGCAAGAATGTGGTAATGAACTCCAGAAGAAGGACTCTGCAGCAATATGTTCATCTGAGTGACCATATTCTGCTGTTAAGGATGGGGCTTGTTTGATGCTGTAAATATCTTTGTTAGCTTCTATCACTGCAGTGATGTCTTCAGCAGATCTAGTAGGTAACCAAAACTGGAAAGTGCAAGTTGAAGCACGTAGTTATGTGGAGTAGTTTTACCTAAGGGTGTTCTTGTTAATAACCTTAAATTTATCTCCAAGACAATCTCTCTGTCTTGCTTGTTTTCTCTCTCTTTTTCTGTATATACCTAAGGATTATATCCAAAGGAGGAATCTGACAGGTTTTGACAGTTTCTAAAGGGCATCTGTAGTGCTAAGGTCAGAAACTCATAAGACGATAGTCTCTGCTGAGCCTTAGGGGACAAAGTAGGGAAAAAAAATCACTTTGTAATCCATTACTGAAAGTTAGCAATTTCTGGTTAGCAGGTGTATTATCCAAAGACAATGTGCAAACCAGCTCTATGCTATTCAATTAAAGCAGTAACATTTGTTTTGTAATCAGGTTATCAAACATAGAAAAATAAGGGCATAATCATCATTTTTGTTAAGTACTGAATGATTTCTAGGAAAGCAAAGAGGTAACATTCTGCCTCAGATCCAGTATTGATTTAACAGCTGGAGTGCAACTTAGGCTGCAGAAAAGTCCTTTTAGTCCAAAACCATGTACTTGATTGCTTTTTAGCAGAAAAGATCCTCTTTCTCCATTTAGAAATTTCCCAGTCACTTAGACCTGGATCTCTAGACATGAGATCCAGAGCAACCTCTGCGCAACGTTCAGGGTGCACACACTTGTCGTCCAGACACTTGTCATCCAGAAACTATTTTTTCCACATCACAGGTACAGGACTCTAACCAATTTCTCCAATGCAAACCTGCCTGCAGGATTTGATAACCAACAAAATGTGATTGCCCGTCTCATGTTCTTCAAAAGCAGAGATAGAGCATAAGCAATCACCAGTTCCTTTGTAGTGATGCCTGATGATTAAAGCACCTAGGAGTGTGCACGCCATTTCAATGCACTCCTCTGCCAGCAGCCCTTGGGGTCCCTATCCCTCATCTCCCAACATGGCCTTGCTCAAGAACACTGCTCCTGCACTGTTCTGTCATTTACCTCATGTATTTTGCATTAACCTAGATGCAAAGCAATTCAAAGAAAGGCCAAGAGCCTCTGTCCTTTTTCACAGAATAACAGAATCACAGAATCTTAGGGATTGGAAGGGACCTCCAGAGATCAAGTCCAACCCCCCTGCCAAAGCAGGTTCCCTATAGCAGGTCACACAAGTAGGTGTCCAGATGGGTCTTGAATATATCCAGAGAAGGAGAATCCACAACCTCCCTGGGCAGCCTGTTCCAGTGAACAAAGTTTCCAGAGGACTTTCACAGCCTGTTCATGATCAAATTCCCCTAAAAGGTTAAAGATGTGGATTTAAATCCCATCAGGCAGTAGGCAAATGTCCCTGATTTTCTCACATCCTGTGAAACTATTTGGCTGTTATGGAACAGAAAGGACATCATCTCTGCTCTTTACTGTTTTTTAAGAGCCATGTCCAAGTTGCTAAAAGCAATAGTGCCAGTACCTGATTTTGGAGAATCTGAGGATCTGAGTCCTTCCCATAACCATAGAGAAGGCATAAGGTTCATCACCATCCTCAGCGTTCCTTGGCCAACCAATTGCATGCAGCAGCAGGAGGAGGTGCGTGGCCGCTCCTCCAAAGATTACACAGCAAGGTTGTGTATCCAGGTGGAGGGGCCCTGTAGAACCTGTGTTTTACTTTTTTTGTAAAAACCAAACCAATTATGTGCTGGGCGTTTCCAGAAAAGCCAAACCTTTTGGAGGAAGTGGGACCTGGGAGCTGGGAGCAGAGGGCATGTGTGAATCTGAATGGCTTTGAGGGTTGGTATGCTGGACCACAGACCACAAATGCAAGTGCTGATGTCTTCTTTAGATTTAGCTCACTCTCTCTCAAGGACAAGACAGGAGGAGGAATTCTCAGCAAAATATTTGCTTGTAGAGAAAATACATTCCAAAATGCTATGCATTTTCATCTTGTTTCTATTACTGAGGAGTTGAGGAGTTGTTCAACTTTGCAGGATGAGACTCTTAAGGACTCCAGGCAGCAAAATTAAAATAGTGCACTGTGAATTGCCCGGTCCTGGTCGCTATTTCTTTCCTTTTACATTCAGTGATAATTGCCAATGCAATATCTTTTTACTGCATTTTTATTAAACCCATACATTGCTCGCCTGCTAAAAATAAAGACTAAAGGAGATCACTGCAGCTGGCAGTGCCCTGATGCAAGCACCCTGCACGCTGCTCCGTGCAGACAGGGTGGGTGCCTGGGGCTGAGGGGGCCGTGTGGAGGGACACCCTGAATGTGTTCCAGAGTGCAGCCATGGCTTTGGGTGCCGCAGTGTCCGGCAACGCGTCCTGCCCCAGCCGGCTGCTTGCAACCTTCATAAGAGAAGAGCTGCTGCCACCTCACGTCCGCTCGCAGTAGTGTCACCCGAGGAGGGCGACGGCCAACCTCCCCTCCCTACTCTCCCCAGCCTTCCCATAGAATTAAGGACATTTCAGTAGGAAAAGACCTTCAAGGTCAAACTCTAGTTGCCCCCGGCCTAGGTGTCTACTGGACTTCAGTCAGCTCGTCCCAAGGACTCCGTGCAGGAGGACAGCCTGGAAACCTCTGTATTTTTTCTCTGATCCCATTACTTCTACCTTTTATGCAGAGTTTTTTTAGCCTGAGTACAGCCATAATTCAGCGTAGCGCGCTGTGTTCCCACAGTCCTTATCCAGCTGCTGTGGAAGGTAGCGCTTTAATTTTGAATGGACAGCCTGCCCCACATCTGATGCGTTTTAACCGGGCTCCTTTAAAATTCATGCCTTCTGTTGACCTAGATTTAATTTGGGTGAGTTTTACTGTGCCAACAAAGGTGAGACTGAGTGCAGAGTCTTGTCTGATGCTTTGTGTAGGGAGCACACTGCAGAAGCAGGACCGCCCTGCCTCGTTTGTGCACTAACTGCTGTCTCCTTTGTTCCCCAAACCACTTCCCCTTTCAATCTCACAGGCTTAATTAGGACAGCTCTGATGAACATGGACAGAGAAGCAAAAGAGTATTACGAAGTGATTGTCCAGGCCAAGGATATGGGTGGACAGCTGGGAGGATTAGCTGGAACAACCACAGTCAACATCACGCTCTCTGATGTCAATGACAACCCACCCAGATTTCCACAGAGTGAGTATCCACCCTGTCAAGATGGCAAAAAGGGCAGCGCCGCATGACTGCTGTCTGGTCCCATTCCAGCTATTTGCAAACTTGGTGTGGCAATAACGAGAGATGAGCATGATTTCAGATCAAAGGAGGAACTTTCCTTCAGAAAAATACCAAAACGAAGCTTCCAATAGTTTGTCTTTCAGTAAAGGTTCCTGTCTGCCAAAATCATCAAAAGCAACCTGCTTTTCACAGGGTAGAAAATTAATTTATGGGACAACATTTAAAGAAAGAAAGAAGGAGAGCTATTCCAAGGCTGCTCATGGCCGTTGCCTTTAGCTGCTAATAGCTGCCCTGGTTCTCTCTTAGTCCTATCTCCAAAAGGCTGTCTGTCAGATCAGGGCCATGTGGCAGTTCTGGAAGTTGGAAGATAATTCATTCAACACTGCAGCCAGGCCACTGCAGGGAGCGTCTGGTTGCTGAGCTGTCGGCGTCACACAGGCTGTCCCACAGGCTGTTCTCTAGTAAAGATTCCCTTAAACCTCAGCAGTATACAGCTAAACAATAAGCAACGCAACAGCAACAGTCAATGGAATCTGAGAACAGACACCTCCACTCTTAGCAGAAACACTACTTTGTCTTTACAAAGTCTTAAAGCAAGATTTGCAGTTTTTTGCTCTTTTGTGTGTGTGTGTGTTAATTATTCTAGGTCAAATTTACCTACTATATTGCATTTAAAAATCAGACATAAAAATTCAGATCTGTTTGTACTAAATCTTCCAAAGGACCTACGATACATTTCTATTTTTTTAAAAAAGTCAATTTTCTAGTGGCATAGATCAGTTCTCAAGCTATTTTAGTTTTGCCGTTTTTCTTATCTGGATGAGGAACAAAAGCTCCTGCAGTTCTTTTTGTTGCTCTGCTTCTTCTCCATCTGTTTCTGCATGTGGCATTGATATATCAGAACACTCCACAAAGACTAGCAAGAAGCATCAACTTCTACTTCCCTTCTCCTTTGAGAACAACTTACTGAACACATCATCACCAATCCTGTTTGGAAAATGGCATGAATTGTAACTTTGATATCAAAGCCTAGATTAAGGAAAATGAGAACAAATCAAACCCTACCCTTGGTGTTACCCTACCCTTGGTCTGCCTTGTAAAGCACAATAATTGGACAGAGAAAGTGCAGCGAGGATGGTTTGGACATGAAGTAGGATGGCAGGACTGTATTTTATAAAAAGCATTTATATTTTTAAAACATGTAGTTTTAAAATGCATACTTTTAAAATCGCAGTTATTTCTTTAGCTGCTAAGCAAATTAGTGATGTGCTAAATGTGCTCAAGGCCAGGTTTGTAGAGAGAGGTGGTGCATTTGAATAGAGCAACTGTTAAATTTGGGAGAAGGAACAGTCAAACTTCTGAGCTCTCAAAGCACTGCACAAGTTTGTGCAGACTTGGTGAAGGATCCGTGGTGCTCAGCATTTGTGTGCTTATTCCAGTTGTATGTCTTTCCCACTATGTTTCATATCCTGCTATAGATAATAGCTGCACCACCATCTGTGTTAATTGCTCAATTTTTCCATCTGAAGTTCCTGTTTTTGATTTTATTGCTATTTTGAACAGAACCCTGTGAGCAAACCTGTTGGTAAGACAAACACCTGCATCAAACATTCTCTGGCAACTCAGTCTGGCTGTGGTCCGTTAAAGGCGATCACACTGTGCTGTGTCCACTCTGGGAAAGGTCATATTGATTCCCATCAGACTAGGGGTATTATGGCCCATCTTGAGGCACCTTTTGAATTAGCATGCAGTTTCTGGCTCCTTTTCACAGCTTGTTGTTCTGTTTCTCCCTGCTTCTTGTGGCAGAGCACTACCAGATGAGTGTGCTGGAGTCTGCTCCTGTCAGCTCCACCGTGGGCCGCGTGGTTGCTAAAGACCTGGACGAAGGCATTAACGCAGAGATGAAGTACAGCCTCGTGGATGGAGATGGGCTGGATGTCTTTGATATTAATACCGATCCTAATTACCAAGTTGGCATCATAACTGTGAGAAAGGTAGTAAAGTTTCCTTTTTGTAGTAATTTATAGCTAGTGGTCCTGGTTACACTTTATGTGTGCAGTATTCCCCTATGCGTGTAGTAACTTGGCTCCCGTTGCGTGGCAGTAGCCCCTTTCCTGCTATAAAACAGCATTTCTTTAACATTCATTGCTAAAATATGAAAGCAGATCACATTCCTAGGAGCAGCTTTTCAAAAGCAGGGACAGTGCTAGCATAAACATGTCTTTTCCCACCAAAGGAATATTCAGATTTGCTATTTATCTATTTAAATATTCTCTGTAGCTTAATTATCCTACAATGCAAGAAATTAGATCAATATTTGCATTTGAACTATACACATTTTTCACTCCGGTGTCCCACAAACAATAATAAAGCATGCCTTAGAATTATTTATAAACCAATAAAACCAAGGCAGTGTTTTTTTTTTAATTGCTGCTTGAAGATCCATAAATGCTAATTAGGTTGGAAGAAGCTGTTTCTAAAATGGCAGCTGTGAAGCTGCTAGTGCTCGGTACCGCAGGCTATAGAGAACGGAGTAGACCTTTCTGCTTAGACTCCCTGCTACAGGATATTTATTCTACAGTCTTACATAAGTGCAAGAAGTACTTCTAGGTTACGAAATTGTAACCATATTTCTGAGTAAGTGTATGTCTGGTGTACTAATAAGAGAATATATACTCCCTTTAAATAGCCTGGGACAAAAATGTATGCTAAAATGGAAGTACACCTGGGATTGATTTGACCCTGCAAGTCTCTGTGCCCTACAGCAAAGCATTTAAGCATGTATTTATGGTCACTTCTCTCCAACTCTTATTTATGTGCACTAAGCCCTAAAGTTAAGTGTGTGCTTAAATGCTTTGCTAGAACAAAATAAATGTTATAAAGACCTTACTGGAATTTTTCACTTATTTATTGATGAAATAAAGTAGTTTATGTGGAGTACATATGTCAATTAGTGTGACTTCGCTTATCCTAAATACAGCTTTACTAGATGTTAATTTGTACCAGAAGCAGTTATAAAAAGTTTATGACATCAATCATATTGGATATGTACCGACATCACACTGCTCAATCCATCCACTGTATATAAATGTCTCTAGAATGTGATCTATACCTGGCACTGTTTGAAATGTTGCAGTCATCAATAGCCAAACATTGGGAAGTCATCCTTTGGAGCTATGCAACCAAAACCAAAAATTGTCATGCAATTGGTATTGTTAGAAAATAATATCACAGTAAGGGGAAAGAGGGAGAGAGAATTTCTAACACCAGAATGAATTCTTTGAAGAAAAAGGCATCTCTCCTCTCAGCTGTGTGCTCAGCAGGAGGCAGCCATCTTGCCCTCCTCACGCAGTCACGTTGGAAAGAATGCATCCAAAGCAGAAGGTACATGGAAGGCTCAGAAGTCTAAGCCACAGCAATGAAGGAGGCCAAAGCAAACTGAGGTGGTCTGAGCCCAGAATGTGGTGGCCTGCCACGGCTTTAATTTTTCTTTTTTTTTGTTCCTAACTTGAGCACCCTAGGCAAATATTTCCTAACATAGTTGGATTTTATAGCTTTTAAGTCTTTCTGTGCTTTGAGTGAAAAGAGCTTTTTATAACAGCTTTTTGGTTTATGTGCAGTGTTTCTCACACGGTCTTCTTCATGTGAGAATCCAGGAGATAGAATGGCCTCCTTCCTGATACACATTCAGGCAGCTTTGCATTGCACACTTCTTGCCAGATGGACAATAACTATTGCTTGATTGTGTGAATATATTTATTGCTATTTTACAGTGCATTAATACACAATTGGTAGAGCATAATGACTCCATACTAATGGGTAATATATTTGTATATCTACTTGAATTCTTGCTGACAAGTGCTATGTCTGCCATGTCCACTGATTCACCAGGAGAATTAAGTGCAGCAGAAGTAAGTTTTGGATCATCTGCTTGTGCCTCCATTTTCTTGTCCAGCTCCTTGCCCTATCTAGTCATATGTCTTCAAAGTGAAAGAGCTGAAAGGAAAAAGCAAAGGTTTTGGATGAGAACAAGAATGGTCTTACTAGAGACTGAATGAACTGAGAGTGCATGGTATTCCACATACAGCATTCCAATTTGTACAAATGCAGCCACACGTTTTGAAAGCCATCCCTGTACCAAAAATGATATCCCACTGGGCAACCCTGAGAATGGGGACATTTCTTCCCTGGTACAAAGTCTGTCCTGCTTGGAAGGTCTGTGTTAAGTAGATCCAGTTGTGCTGGATTTCAGCATTAATGCTCCCTGAAATACAGAAATAAAGGGCTGTGATCATTTAATCCCTGTATGATTGCTTGTAACTCCTGACTAGTGCTTGGAAAAATATGGCTGTGTCCTCTAAAAATTGCACTTAATCTGGTGAAAAAGTTCCATGCAGTCATTCTTGTCATGTTTTCTCTTATTGGGATTGGTAAATTGCACATTAAATATGAAATTGTCCATTTAAATCCAAGCAGGTTTTAGAGAAGCTCCATTTAATTCAGGGATCTGTAAAAAGGAGCATAGAGGGAAATTAAAGATTTATTTATTGAAAATTTCAGTGTCAGAATCTATTATTTCCATACCCTGGATCCCCAAGTAAATAACTTTATCTAGAAAGGAAATCAAGTTCACGCAAGTACTAACAGATAAAACTCATCTCTTCTTATGCATGCTCTGGGACCTCCTCGTCATGACTGCCACCAGGGCCCATTTCTGAGGAACCAGCTCCTCATATCTTTGCCTGTTTTCAGGTGCTTTCAAACTACCTGTTTCTGCCTGGCTTTTTTTTCGTTTCTGCTTTTTTCCCAGACTAGAATGAAAATGTGAATCACAATACCAGGGTGGTGCAGCCACTCTTCATTTCATTATAGCAAGAAGAATGAAAGAATGCACATTTTAAAGTGACTGCAGTATGAATACATATTGCAAACTGACTTTTTTCAGTTCAACTGTCAAAAATAATTAAAAACAAGATGCAGGCATTGCCACTGCCAGTACAGCTGTCACTCAGCACTCTGTTTCCACCTGCAAATATTAATCTTTATTACCCTTGTGAATAAAGCTCGTTGTAGAGATTTATTATTTACAATAAGAATTAGCTTATGTGAGAGGGCATCTTCTGAAGATTAAAATATGGACTAAATCATGTGATGCAGCTAGCCTAACCATAGATACGATTTTTCTCATTAGCCTTTAAGCTTTGAGAGCAAGAAAAGCTACACCTTGAAAGTCGAAGGTGCCAACTCCCACCTGGAGATGCGCTTCCTGAACTTGGGTCCTTTCCGAGATACCACCACTGTCCACATCAGCGTGGAGGATGTGGATGAGCCTCCTGTTTTCGAGCCCAGTTTTTACTTTGTGGAGGTGCCTGAGGATGTGGAGATTGGGGCCACCATACAGATCATTTCTGCCAAGGATCCGGATGTGACCAACAATTCAATCAGGTCTGTATTTTCTTCTTGTGTCCCCCAGGAGTGTTTCCTGATACCTCTGGTTGATGGACTGGCGATGGGGCTGACGCAGGACAGGTGGGAGGGACTCTTTCTGTCCAGCCTGTTAAAGTCATCAGTGAGTTTAATCAAACAGGATCTCATACTACAAGGGGCCTGGTTACAACTGGCAAAGCAAAGCAGGAGCTCACCCTTGCTTTTTCTGTGGCACACATAGCTAGCATTGCCATGAACTGGTCAAGGCAAGCCCTGACAGCGTAAATTAAAAACAAACTCCAGACCTTTGTGCTTTTGCTGGCACAGTCTGACAACAAAACTGACAGCATTGCTGAGAATCTGCTATAGGACTGAGGGGAAAGTAATGAGCTCACTTCTCTCTTCCCATTCTGTTTCATAACCATTGCTATTTGCAACCTGTCTTTGTCAACAGCTCAAGTGCACAGCTACATTTGGAGTAGTTTGAACGCATACTAATGAGCACACATGAGCCACTGAATTCTATAGTGTTTGGTCAAAGCTGCAGAGCTAAATGTACCTGTAAGGAGTTATGGAAGGTAAAAGGTGTATTTACAGCCTTAGGAGCTGCAGAGCTACAACTCAGAAAGGAGCCATAAGGGCAGCTTTGTGTGATAGCGGTACTGTTTTCCATGGTTGCTGCTGAACCAGCCCAATTTATCAGAGAAGACTGATTTTCTCTGAGGCCAACCCACATACTGGTTTTCACTGCCTGCAGAAGCTCCAGGTGTTTGCAAGTTACTAATCCCAGCAGGTCAGCTGCTCCTCTCACCTGCAAAGTGCTTTGAGTGCTGACCCTGAACCTGTGTTTGGATTCTGAATAGTCTGCACTCACCTATCTGTACTCAGTAACTGGGAAATACTGGAAAGAGTCATAGCACTGATAGTCTTCAAAGAAAGGGAAGTCTATACGAGCAACTCTATGGGCTTCAGCTGAGAGATGCAAGCAGATACAAAGACTGTTTTTCTTGATGTGTTACTGCTGTAATTAAGTTTTTCATCTCTTCTACTTAATATACCCACTTTTTCTACCTACATTATAAAGCTATCCTACTTCTCATGACATTGTTTCAAATTATTGAGTAAAACTAAACTGCTATACTGTCTGCAGCACAGCTTCATTACCCTAAACTTTTTTTCTGCCTGCATCTATTTTGCTGATTGCAGTCTAGCATTATCCAGACACTGCAGCACAAACAGCTTTGTGCTAATCTGCTTTAAATAGTATAGAAATAATTCTGTGGAGTATTGGCAGTGTTCGTTGTTATTTCTAATAAGTTTTCTTTTAGTTTTCTTGAGAGCTTTCCAGTGGCTGCCTGTGATGAAAAAGCATTCTAGAAAGCACAGAAGGCATTGCCAAGGATATTTAAAAACACGTTACACACTGTAAAGATTCCTCTATAACTTTTTTCTGTCCCACCTTTCTTCTTTCTTTCCTTCCCGTCTTCCTCCCTTCCCACTTTCCTTTCTTTTTCTTTCCTTTTTCTTTCTTCCTCCACACCTTGCACATACAAACGTGAATGACTGAGATAAAGAAAAAAAAAAGAATAAGTACTATTTGAATAGCACTTGTAATGCTAACTAAAATGCAAATGTCAAGTATTGCTTCTCCTACTCCTTGCCTCTAATGTGGTTTCCTCCATCCACACCAACTCTGTGTTGTATCAGTCTGGCTATGTTTTGGGCTTGCACAAATTTCACTTTGCACAGGGTAAAACAAAATAAGACGATCCCAGATACCTATCTCATTACATAAGATGGAATATGTCTGAAATTAAAATTGAGACCTGACACGTCCTTTGGCCGTTTTGTCAATTACAGGAGTCAGGTCATATCTCAGCAGCGCTCTGGACCCCCACACTGTAAACTTCCAATTGCTAGAAGTACACCATGATTCATTGTCAGGGAATTTAGGAAGATTACCTCCAGAGTACAATAGAAATGAGTATGTAGGAGCAGGCCTTATTAACAAGACAACATACATGCAGAATCCAGGCTAAGACTCCACCTGTGCTTCTTGACACCAGTGATTAATACTGCACTACTAATCACAAGGCCGTATTCAATTTCATATACTCATTGGCCTTAAACTGTCAGAGGGAAATTCTTTTTATAGTCTCATGCAAAAATAATTATTATAGCAAAATATAGCAACCCTCGTACATATTTCCCAAATAAATCAAATTCCTCAGAAATTTCTTTATTTAAGAAGAGGTGGAAAGAATTGGAAGTGAAAGGGAAGCAAGCCTGCCTTTCCACCCTATTTCATTCTTCTGAAACAGCATAACCTAACAGTACTTTATATCCCAGCTTAATGCATCACTATATAAAGCTGGCATTCTCATTCCAGTGAATGCACTTAGGCTGAAAGGAGAAAATTCAGACAGCAAGCCCTGCTCAGCATCTGTTATGACTAATGCTTTCAATTCCCATCAACTTGGAAGAAAGAACCAAGAGAGAAGAAGTCCAGGCTCTGTTCAAGTCTGTGGCATTTGCATAAACACATGGGTAGCTTTTGCCAGAGGATCTCTTACCATGTTAACATAATTAGCTAGGAAGGCGACTGGTACGAACTGGTGGTAAGAGTATTTGAAGCACATAATTGAGTATGTTACACACCCTGCAAACGTGTCTTTGCCTCCAGTCTTTCATCTGCTGAAGGAAAACTTGATGACTGATGGGAAAACCTGACATCACCTCTTGCAAGGACGTGGCTCTGTCAGTAGGGCAGTTCAGGGTTCAAATGGAGTTAATTCCACTGGAAGGAAGAGAGAATGTAAAAGCGAGAGCAAGGGAATGGTTCCTCCTCCTCAGCCCAAGTGCCCAGTGAGGGAGTTGGTGTGAAGTCATTTTCAAACAGTCTGAACTGTGCCCAAGGGAAAGGTATAATTATTTTGCTTAGAAAAAGAGCTTGCACTCCTCAATGACAGATTTTCTCTGTAAAGCAGATGTTCCCATACCGAGCTGTGTCTTGCTTTGAGGCTGCTTCCTCTAAATCTTCCTGTCCTCCATCTCCATCCCAGCAGTTCTCGCTGTTACATGCCATTAGCCATGCAAACTACTCATTTTTCAAGTGTCTTTCTCCATACCTATACAAGTCACTGGAGCACACAGCTGAGTTGTGGATTTGCTATATAGGATTCCTAGTATTCCCACTGCTGGAGTACTTTGTTGAACATAGAATCACAGAATCATTTGAGTTGGAAGGGACCCTTATAGTCCATCCAGTCCAACTCCCCTGGAGTGAACAGGAACACCTACAGCGAGATCAGAGCTCCCTCCAGCCTGACCTAAATGTTTCTAGGGACAGGGCATCTACCACCTCTCTGGGCAACCTGTGTCCATCCTTACTGCAAGAAAAAAACCTTATTCCTTACATCCAATCTAAATTTCCTTTCTTCTAGTTTGAGATCACTGTCCTGTCACACAGCAGACCCTGCTAAAGAATCTGTCCCCTTCTTTCTTATAGCCCCATTTTAGACATTGAAAGGCTGCTATCATGTCTCACAGGAGTTACAAAATGCTTTCAATGTATACTCTTGCAGGTACTCGATTGACAGGAGCAGTGATCCGGGGAGGTTCTTCTATGTTGACGTCACTTCAGGAGCACTGATGACTGCAAGACCTCTGGACCGGGAGGACGTTTCCTGGCACAACATCACAGTGCTGGCTATGGAGCTGAGTAAGGAGAATGCAGACTGTGCACAGATTAAAGAGATATAATAGACAAAGCAGGCTGAAAGACCAGGATTCAGCAATTCATAGGATCTTATGTATTGAAGGGGAAGTGATATTGAGTTACTTCTCAGATACCAGCAAGCCAGTACAATATTTTATTAATTTCTTATGCTCCTTTTCACAAGGTGGTGGGAGAAGGGGAGGCTGGCATTTAAACGCAGAGTGCATTTTTTTCTTTTCATTAGTATTCTAGGGATTTATTTAAAACTCTTCCTGAAATATGTCTCTGTGAAAGCTCTGTTTCTCCAGAAGGACTGGGCAGGTGCAAAGGCTGTGCAGCTGCCAGAACTGCCAGTCCTACCTGGGAAGACTGTGCAGTGCAGGGACTGGCAGGCAGCAATGATTCTTTACTATTAGGTTGCTTCTGGAAATCTGCTCTGGGCCAGAAGCAAGTGAGTGGCACCACCATCTGCTCTCTGCATGGATGATTTGTGGAGGGTGCTGTGGAATCCTCTTGTATGAAAACCCCACAGCAACTGGAACTTAATAGACTCTCAGGTTTTACAATGAACTGAAACTCGTCTCAGGATTCACCCCACCAAGGCTGTGAGAACAAGGAGATGCTGATCATTTCATAGCAACGCAATGAAAAATGGTACTCAGTTCACAATACTTACAAATGTGAGCTTCGTAAAGAAGCTTACAATATATGAGCAAATAAAATAAAGAGTTCACCCAATCTTCACCTGAAATCTCTTTGTTCCACACAGTTTTTGGTCAGGATTTCAGTTCATTGGCAGAGGAGCAGCAGTCTTCCAGAAGCTTGCTGCCAAAAGCTGAGCGATTCCTCATCTTTGAGGAAGCTTCTGTTACATCCAGGCTGCACCAGGGATGTGGGGCAGTTTGAAAGGAAACAAATTGAGAAGCTGTCCCAAACCCAACCAATCAACTTAAAGTTAGCAGGGAGAATATTTCACAAGAGTCAGGAGGAAATCTGCCACACATTTGCATGCTGAAACAGCCCACAAGGCCTTCCTGTTGCATTTTTAGTAGTGAGAGCGGCTGGTGACATGGTGGGATCTCACCCCATCTGTTTCAATGCTAGCTTTATTTTCAGCCACTGATGGTCATCACAGTTCCATGTAGATGCACACTGCCATGGAAGTCCTTAGAAGCCACCCCTGTAGCCGCACTGCAAAGCGAGAGCAGTCTGATGATGTCTTTCTTCCTTTGACTCACCTTCCCTGCCTCCTCTGCCAGTTTTGCGCTGTACGTGGGCAGCACAGTATTTTAACTTAGCTTCAGGAATGCCGCAGTTGTGCACTCCTAAAGCTTCTTGTTTCAGAAGTCAGGTGAATATTATTGAGTGTAAATGCAGACACTCTTGTGACAGGTGTGTGAGCGAGATGTGTATGGGTATGTGGAAAGCCAAAGGTTGAAATTATATATCAGAAAGAAACAGTATAGTTCAAGAGTATTATCCTATTGGCATGATGTAAAACACATTATGGATTCGGCACACTGAACTTGCAAGAAAATTCCAGAGTATGAGAAAATTATTGTTTATATGAACACATCATTTTATGCTATAAAGTGAGATATATTTGGAGATCTATGCATGACACTTTATGGCTCAGACAAGATTACTTTTAAAGGAATTTCTAGATTTTTGCTCCCTTTCTTACCTCCTAATCATGATTTTCTTTTTCTCCTTCCTCTTAGAGTTTCATTTTATCTTTTAATGAGGGGAAAAAGTTGTTCTGGGGCAGAAAAACACAGTAAAATAAAACTTACTCTGTGGCTACCAAGTTTGGAAACTGTGAAGAGATGTGAAATGATGTCTGAATATACTGGGCAAAAGAGCTAATGAACCAGTGGACAGAAATATCACAAATGATGTCATCCAGAATGTGAAATTTTCATTGCAATTTTAAGCCTCAGTGAAAGCTTTTCTGTACCATTTCATGTGTTATTGCATTTTAACCCCCTTTACAAAGTAGCAAAAAAAACTTGCCACAATATTTTTGTGTTCAAGGAATATAAATTCTGGGGAGAAAGATACCTGAAATGCAGAAGTACTGTTTCCAACAAGCTCCAAGTAAAAAGCCTGTCCTTAAAAACAGCCTCAGCATAACTCATGCTACTGGTATAGAGGCTCAACAAGCAGCATTTCCTAGCCAAAGCTGTGACTGCAGGGCACTGTCTAAAACTTTTACTATAGAAATAGTCCCCTTTGACTGAACTGAGTTGAAGCCTTTTGTATCTAAAGGAATTTGAAAATGATGTGACCAGATGGAAAGCCAGGATAGATAGTGTAGCATTTGCTGCTTCACTCTGAGTCATACAACAAGCAAGTGACCGCAGTCTCTGATGAAAAAAAAAGTAATTTAATGGGAATCAATAGTAAAAAGGCTGCTGTAGCTCATCAGCAGAGTGGGGAGCTAGCCCTTTCCCTTGCCACATTTTGCCTTTCCTCACATTGTCCCCCCTCCTTCCAGACAACCCCTCACAGGTGGGCAGTGTCTCCGTCACGGTGAAAGTCCTGGATGTGAACGACAACGCGCCAGAGTTTGCGAGGTTCTACGAAGCTTTTGTTTGTGAAAATGCCAAAGCAGGACAGGTGAGAAATGCTGGGAATACTGGGGGCTGTCAGGAGGCAAAGCTGTGAGAAAGCCCATCAGACAGGATGAGCGCAAAGAACAGAGCTTGCCTAACCAAACATGGCACCTGAGCTCTCGTGAGCAGTTGCCTGCGCTGCTTTCTAAGGGCAAGCACATCACAATGATGTGTGCATCATATAGAGCACCATTTTCTCTCCAACAGTGGTTTCCAAACTCACTGCACAGTACATTTCACTGCTGAAATAAAGCCTGCCCTTGGGCAGGTGCCAGCAGGCAAGCAGCCAGTGTGTCCTGTAGCAGCAATAAAGAGAGGACAAGTGTTATAAGAAATGCCACGGAGTCAGTTCAGCCTGTGTATGACCAGCAAGGCTTACTTGTAAAAGACCCTATTTATAAGAGGCTTAATCACCTCGACTTATGGGAGCTGGACACAATACGCTGCATCGACTTCAAAGGGTGGCAAACTGAGTCCATTCTGCTGTGAACTGGAGATTACAGAGAATCATAGTTAAAACAGGACTCCCAGTTCTGCACACTGTGAACCCACATCTCCAAGCAAGCAGTAATACCAATTTGCTTCAGCCCTTTCCAAAGCCCCTTGAACGTGGTCTGCCTGTATCACACATGGACAGGAGCTCACACTCGCTGTTGGTACTGCAATTTGTGCTGCTGATTGCTGGTGGGATGCAACCTGCTGTTTCACTGCCACAGTGGGGACCTGTGTCTCCAAATGCATGGCTGACAAGCATAGTATAAGCACACAGATGCACAACTGATTATTTATGAAGAAAAAAATTACAGTAGCAATATCACTGCTCATTCAGTTGGGCACCTCCCAGCTTGCTGTGAAGCAGAATGAAATAGTTATTCACTGCTGGAGCAACCAGCTCACTAAAAATCATATACAGGATAATTTCATCCTACTAACTTAATAAAGAACATAAGGAATAAAAGTCATTGCCTAGACATTTTGCAGGTTTTGAAAGGACTGACAGGTTGGATATTAGGAAAACTTCTTTTCCAGAAGAGTGATAAGACACTGGCACAGGCTGCCCAGGGAGATGATGGAGTCATTGCTCTGGAGGTGTTCAAGAAACATGTGGATGTATCACTGAGGAACAGGGCATGGTGGGGTGGGTTAGTAGTTGGATTAGATGATCTTAGTGGTCTTTGCCAACCTTAATAGTTCTATGATTTTAAACCTCTGTAAGTGAGTTGACAAACCTCTTCTTGGATTTATTATTGTCTTAGTTTCTTTCCTTTGTTTTATTTGTTGCTCATACAAAGCATCCACGTGGTTGCATTTTCTCTTTGTTTTCCACTGACTTTTTGGAAGAGCTTAATGATAAAAGGAACCAACCTCAAGTATTTTTCTACCTGCAAAATGAAGCTGAAAATATGTATGGGCTTTCTTACAAACTCTCTAAAGCATGTGTATTTTCTGAATGCTCTGGGTTCTCAAAAGGAAAGGTATGACAAAAGATAGACACGTGGGGGAAAAGTGTTATTTGAACCAAATTATCTCCTCCTTCGTTTAAAAGTGATTTGCAGAGTGATAGCAAAATAAAATGAAACCTGCAAGGCAGTTTTACCCCAGGTTGCTTATATTCACATATATAAATGTATATTGTATTTATTGTTTATTTGTTTACGTGAGGCGTATTTAGCTTCTCACCTGCTTCTGCTTTGTTCTCGTATTGTGCAGCTGATCCAGACAGTGAGCGCCATTGACCGGGATGACCCACAGGAGGGTCAGCACTTCTACTACAGCCTGGCTCCAGAGGCAGCCAACAACCCCAACTTTACTCTGAGGGACAATCAAGGTAATCAGAGCAGATGTGGACAGTTAGCTACTCTAATTTCTAATGTCCGAGTTGGGCTCGAGAGTTTGTGACTTACAGTGTGTGATAAGACTGCCATTTCAGATAATACCAAGTGACACCTGCTCCTTAAAGGCAATGATAAAATGACATATTTCTTAATACATTTGAAGGTTATATGATATTTTCCTCTCTATAAGTATTCTCTAGTAATAGGCCCCCCTTTTCTTCTTAGAGGAAATGTGTCACTGTTTTGTGCAAATTTGGGTCTTGTGGTCAGGCTGCAGGCATCTTGGATTACTAGAGTGGAAATTGCATTCGTTGAAAAGGAGATGCTTAAAGGTAGGCTAGAAACTGGAATGAGGATACAAATCTGAAGGGAATTACATTGCTCTTTTTTGTACTCTTCTTGTTTTCTTCCAGGCACTGAAATGGAAGTTTCTCATATTGTTCCCATCTTTTTCCCCAAGCACTTTTTTTTCTTCCTCTATGCATACCCTCATTTATTGCCTAGGAAAGGCAGGGAGGTGGGGGAGAGATGCCAGGCCTTAGGGAATAATTTGAAATGCAGCTAAATGTCTATGTAAAAGGTTTCAGCAGAAACTGAAATACCAGCGGGGAGACTTGTGGCAAAGGGCTGGCATTTGTGTATCCTCACCAGTGGAATTCACTTATTTTAGGGAAGTTTTGGTGGTTTTGGAGCCCGAAGGAAAGCTCTGTTATGAGCATGCGTTCATACGACTCTAGCTGATAGAGGACCTTTGTGGGCAAATGGGTGCAGAAGTGAGGTCTACAGCTGTCTTCAGCAGAAAAGAAAGATGACCTTGAATAATCCAGTGCAGAGCACCAAAAGTTGATGTGGTGTCAGTAGGAGCGTGTAAAGTACTACAAACCAGCAAGGAATTCTATTAGAAAAGGGGATACAGGTACCTGCAGCATCCGTGACCTGTTTCCAGGCATAGTGCTGATCCTACTCCCACATGAGCACACATGCCTACTTGTCACACTTGTTTCCATAAGCCCTCATCTATGCCTCTTGCAAGCATGTGAAAGAGTAACCTAATGGCTAATAAACAAACTTCTTCCATCACGAACCAAATATATCTTAAATGATGCTACTTGCAGAGCCTTGAGTTCTCCTTCACAGCATGCTAGTGCTTTTACAGCCCAAAAACATTTTATCCTTCAGAGTCCCCGAAGACTCACCACACAATTTCTTGCGTTTTTATCTCTCATTCTCTGTCTCTGTTTTTTTTAACTTTTGAACATATATTGCCAAAATAAATTAGAAGATAAAACACAACCATTGCTAAAACATTTGGCAGTCTAGGCTCATTCTGTCCTGAAGGCATTGTTCTAAAAAAGGAAACACATAATTCCCACCATCAGATGCATTTTTTCTGTCTAAGGCCATACATGCTGTAATTTATAGTGACAGCAGTGACTGAATGGCCGTGCCTTCTGCTTTCTGCAAAATACCAGTTTTCCAGAGCTACATATCATGAGAAGCATAGGGTACTGTTGGTTACAAATCTGAAATAAAAATGTGAAGTATCATACCACTGACTATTTGAAATATACACATTAAGGGTTAATTTACTGCCTTGGCAATTTGGAGTGCAGTAGTTGTTTCAGTACCAATAATTTATATTTTCATCTAGGGACCACTAAGTACTACATAAATTATAAGATTTAGTCACCGAAGGCGAAGATATACTGCATGCCTCAGGATGGAAAGACAAGGAATGGAACCTGCCTTGCTTGTTGCAGCCTCTGTGTCTAACCATGAGACAGCAACGCTTTCCTGGCTGTGGGAAGACACTGTTCAGATCAGCAGTTGTGCTAATTACTTGGTTGTGCCATACAGTAGTAAGAAAAACTGCGAGACGTGAAGCCATCTTTGCAGCAATGAAAATTTAAGTAACAAACAGATCACAGTTTGCATTCTGATGAGCTGCTTTACATATTTCTTTGACCCTTGTTATTACAGTCTCTGAGAACTACTTTAAGCTATTCATTCTCCCCCTAGCTTTGGCAGCTAGAGAAATCCTATTGTCTTCACTTTGTAGACAGGGATCTGGGGTGAGCAGAAATTAATCTACTTACATGCCTGGTTCCCTTTGAGTCTGGTAAAATCAGTGGGCAATAGATTTGCAAGTATCTGCAAAAATTAGGGCCTGAATTACTTCTCAAGGACATATAGGAAATATGTGATGAAGCAGAGAACTGAGCTGAGTTCTCCCTTCTCTTTTGTTAGTGTTAGAGGGCATCAGTGGGCTGTCTTTGTCCCACTTCTAAATCTGGGTAAGATAGTGCTGGGAAAGGGTTGGTAAAAGAGGCTTGCTGTGAGAATGGGATGAGCAACAAAATAAGCTTACCAAATATCCAGACTAAACTTTGAGCTGGTCTCCTCTTGGCTTTTCTCTGCTGCCCTCCATTTGAGGGTAACAGGAATTAATGAAGAGAGTAGTCACTTGGATGGGTGCAGGCATCAGTGTCATACCACCATCAGGACCATCAGTGGAAGTCCCTGAAAGTCCTCTCTCTTGCATTTCAATTCAAATGTCAGGGAGGAGAGGCTCTAAGTCTTGTTCTCACAAGCACACCAGTCAGAATGGCCAGAAGGATAGTTCTCACGTTCGCACCAATCTCAGGGGTGCAGGATCACACACTGTGCTCTACAATGCCTCTGCTCAGTGTGGTAGCTAACTGAATATCATCAGTAATCTGCAAGACAGCGATGCTGTACTGGAAGCTGGATGCAAAAGTACTGTGCATTCTTATTGTGCTTTTTAAATTAATTTATTTTTAATATAATAAGGCTATCATGTTCACCCAGGCCTTGTTGTGTCAATGGCTAGGACTTAGCAGATATCAAATTTGGAAGAAAATAGTGCATTCCAATTTCTGCCATGCTGCTTCACATTCTATCATGTCCTTTGCAGTGCAGCAGCACATCAGATGGCGTTGGCTTCTGATGAATCACACAACAAGCTCTGGCACCAGCCTATTGCCATTGTGGTGTAACAGGTACAGTGATTCCTGAGGGATGATTTATGTAGATGCTTGTCTAGTACAGAGCAAAACAAAGCAAAAGGGCTGAAACATAATGCTGACAGACACCAAGGGAACCATATGGCCAAGAATATTTAGGACCTATGTGATAGGATCAGCACATCACAGCAAAGTTATGTACATATATAAATATATATATACCCTTCAATATTTGATTACAGAAACTTGTTTTTTAGCTGGAAAAAATATATATATATACATATATATATTTATATGTATTTGCACAACTTGAATCACTGCCTGTGATTTGTTCTACGGGCAAAGTATGGCCAGCTCCAGAATAATGAAGTCTTTTTCCTTCACAAAGAGCAGTTTCACATAAAATGAAGGTTTGCTGTCACCTGAGTGGGATTTATGACTTCTGTTATTGGCCAGTTTAAACAGCGTGAGTCTTTCACCCAGGAAAGAGAAAGGCAACCAAACCACTGCACTGTTAAGATGACTGAAGTGCAATATAAATCCAGATGTTTTGTCATTTTCTGCCCTTTGGGTTGCTTTTTCTCATGCCACAACAGGCCAAATAATGAAAAGATGTGGTATTGATAGCTGAGGAGGATGTACTGAAGGGCACATAGCCTGAAGAAGAAGTGAAAGCACTTGTGTGTGTCCCAGGAGAGAAAGGAAAGTGGGGCTCACAGTGGGGAGCCCTTGTTCAGGAGCTGTAGTGGCTGTAGGGTGCTGATCTCTGCTGGGTCTTAGGACATGATGCTGAAAATATGTCTGCATCTGTCACACCTGCTGCACTTGTTCAGAGCAGCACAGCCTATTGAAGGATGGTAAAATCAGCAAAAGCTGAAACATCATCCATTTTAAGCAACCTGGGGGATTTCATCCTGCATCTGGTGCTATTTGGTTGTTCTTTTCAAAGCCCCAGCTCTTGGGATCCCGTGATTTAAGGAGATGCTACAGTTTTGTTACTTACTCACATACAGGCACAGGTGCACTTCAGTATTTTACACTTTCAGAGCAAAAGCTTGAAATGTCATGGATATATAAGGCATGAAAGATCCTGAGATTGCTTTTAAAAACTATGGAAACTGAGATTGTTTTTATAACTGTGGAGCCTGACTCTCAGTACTTGCAGACACCAGTGCTGCCTGCTGTTGAGAGCTTCGCAGCACAAAATATGGAACTTGCAGCATAGTTTAAGTCTGGTAGGGAAGCATAAAGAGTCCAGCTTGAATTGCATACATTCCAAAGCTGGCTGTATATAAAGCTCATAATCTCACTCCTAAAGACCATCAAATAATTTCTGATATCGCTGATTAACCTGCATGTCAATCAGTCTCCACACTGAACAAAATGACCAAAGATTTTAATTTTAGCAGTGAGTTGACATGGAAATAATCACAGAGTCATAGGGGTGGAAATTAAACAATCAGTTGTTGGTATCATGTGTTTTTTTTTCATAGTTTACTTGTGATTGCATTACTGGCTGGTTCCAGGCAGCCAGCTCCATTGTGCCAACCCAGCAAGGACCAGCTGATTGACATCCTGCATTTCCAAGCACAGTACATGTGTGCTGGAAGCAACCTAAATATGCAGATAGCCAGACCACAGCCTCTTTTGAACCCAGGGAACACGAAACAAAACTAAGTAGTAAAAGAAACTGCATGAAGCCCAAATCCCCACAATCTCACAGCAACGCTGTGCATGGTCAGGGTTTGTAGGTCTGCCAAAAAGAGAAAAAAGATCCTTTGTTCTCCACCTATTTTGCCGGCTCAGGATTTGCAAACACATTTATAAGATGTGCCAACTTTCCTGCAGGTTCTTTTAGACGCCCTGGTGGGCCAAATCATATTGGAGACATTCAATTCAGCCTTGCTCTTTCCCAAAGTCTCTGAGGCCACAAAGCTTAAAAGTCAGTACAGGTAAAATACACTGATCTCCAGAGAATTTGCCATGGCATTTTGGAGATAAGACTTGAGGAGAACAAAGTCCTGAATCCACTCTCCTTCTTACTAGGAAACTCAGTGCACAGTTTGAGGAATTTGGGGGAGAAGGTAAACAGGAATTCAGAAGCCATTGGAAATCCTGACATTAAATATATATACATAGCTCTGTTCTTATATATATGTATAGATAAGTATACATACACACACACACATATATATATATATATATATGGAGAGAAAGCGCCAGATGAAGGAATTTCCCTCGACATGAAAATTAAAGGCAATCTCCTCTCCTCTTAGGTCACTCTCTTGCTCCTTTGTTTCTGCAGCATCGTTTCAACCCATTTTGTTTCAAGTTCTAATAAAAATCAGGTGGCAGAATGGTCAAATTAAAGCAGCACAATTTTGACAATGACAACAAAGTACTCTGACTTTTTCCAATGGCAAAAGTGCTGATGAAATTGCACATATTTCACTGAAAAAATGTTTTGTTGCAAAATTTTCGACCCACTGCTCTTTAGGATAACCAGCTGTCATTTTCGCTGTCTTTTGTTCCTTTGTTCCCTGTCTTCTTGTTGCCTCAAGCAGATGGCCATGCCTCATATCAAAAACCATAAAGACAACCTTAGCATGTCTGCAAGGGTTATACACCAGCATCTACAAAATGGTGGCAGCTCTTAAGAGCCATGTCTAGAAAAGGTGCTGACCAAGAACAAACAGGGATAACAAGCCTCCTTCAACTATTCATTTCCATCCTGCCTTCTGAGAGCTCTTCTAGCTAAAACTGAAGGCTGTGAGTTTGCTCTGGGCACTTTATGTCAGAAGGGGTGAAAGCAACTTGTAAGGTGTGCATGCCTTGCAGGTTTTGAGCTATGGCCTCGGAAGATATTGAAATATGAGAGGCAGAGGCAAAACGCTGATCAGTGACAAACTGTTTTTTAAAAAAGGATAAAGAAAAAAACAGGGAAGACAAATGGATGTGGGTCTAGGGCTGATTTTTTTTTTAGACCTCCTTTTCTGATGAATATATTTGTTCTTCTTTTGTCTCCATTTATTTCCAACCCACAGACAACACGGCATGGATTTTGACGAGGCGCTCTGGCTTCAGACAGCACGAGCAGAACATCTTTTACCTCCCCATCCTGATCAGTGACAACGGCCGCCCTGTGCTGAGCAGCACAGGCACGCTGACTGTGCACGTGTGCAGCTGTGACGAAGGCGGCATGGTGATGTCCTGCAATGCTGAGGCCTACGTCCTCCCTGTCAGCCTGAGCAGAGGAGCACTCATTGCAATCCTTGCCTGCATATTTGTCCTGCTAGGTAAAGCCTTATCTGCTTCTTGGGAGGATGAGCTCTTCTGTCCTGGCCAGGGGGTTGCTAACCTACTAAAGATGAAGGATACAAATGCACGTGCACATAAAGGGCCAAAACATGGAACAGGCGTAGTCGGCCCCATATTGCTTCAGACAGGGGTATAGGGATGGGGGAAATAATACAGACTGCAAATATTCTGGCAGATCCCCGTTGTGCCAGGATGTCTCATATGGCCCTGCTATATGAAAAGAAGTACGTCAGGAGGAAGTAGAAAACTGAGCATCTTCCATATGTTCTCTCTACACAAGCATATTTCTTTTTTTTTGTTTGATTGGTTGAGGTTTTTTGCCCAGACCTTCTATTTCCCCTGTTAGCCTTGAGTATTAAAAGAACTTCTGTTCCCTTGTTCAGACTCTTGAGTTGTGAGATATTAATTCAAAACACATTTTCCCTGAAGTTTCAGAGGCTCAGTCTAAGGATCAGTAGAGTAGTAAAAACAACAAAAAACTTTAAATTCTATCTCTATAAAGTCTAGATGCCTCAACCCAAACTTTCAGTGTTCAAAACCCTTGCTGAGTTCTAGCTGAAGATACAGTCACCAGGTGACAGCACATTTTCTGCAGTGAAGGCCTCTTGGTGCCTGTGTATGCTAAGAATCATCTGCATCTCAGTATTGCTGAGCAACTGACAGTAATTCTACTCAGCCCAAAGCAGCATTTTTCAGATAAACACAGAAATGCTTAGGAGCAGATGAAGGAGCTACCTCAGCCATTTGCCATGTAGGGAGACATACTACCATGGTGAATCTTCCATCATGGGCTTACCATTCCCCCACTTATGTCACGTGCAGCACCCAGACCAAGAGGCTTTCCTAAAGCAGGCTGCAAATCCACCTACAAAGCAGGAAAAAAAAAAAACAATCACATCTTTGTGAAGCTGCTGCAGATAAGTAGTTACTAATGCTTGATCTGGCTACCTTTAAAGTATCTCAAGTACCACACTGCAAACACTACTGGCTAGACTTGTCCCAAATGTTGTCCCTAGACTTGTGACCAAAAGTTAAGACTTAAGGTAAGCTAAGAGACAGATAGGCAGGACCTCGAGATACTGATCTCAGGTAGATATCTGCATCCCTCCATCTGCAAACATCACAGCTCTTTATATCCAAGGGGCTGCCTCAGGCATAAAGACTATGCAAGATCTGCCCTCTTACTGATGGCCCCATGTTTTGGTTGCCTCCCACAGTGCTGGTGCTCCTCATCCTCTCCATGCGGCGCCAGCGGAAGCAGCCATACATCATAGACGAGGAGGAGAACATCCATGAGAACATCGTCAGGTACGACGATGAAGGCGGCGGGGAGGAGGACACTGAGGCCTTTGATATCGCCGCCATGTGGAACCCACGGGAGGCCCAGCTTGTGGTGAAAAACAGGCAGGACATGCTCCCTGAAATAGAGAGCCTCTCCAGATATGTGCCTCAGGCATGCATCATGGACAACAACGTCCACAATTACGTGCTTGCCAAGCTGTATGAGGCTGACATGGACCTCTGGGCTCCTCCCTTTGACTCCCTCCAGACATATATGTTTGAAGGGAACGGCTCGGTGGCAGAGTCGCTCAGCTCCCTACAGTCGGTGACCACAGACTCAGACCAGAGCTACGATTACCTGACGGACTGGGGCCCACGCTTCAAAAAGCTGGCCGAGATGTACGGTGCCACGGACAGCAGTGGGGCCCTGTGGTAACAGACAAGGAATTGCAGAGGGGTTTCCGTGTGAAGTGGCATCAGATTAGATCCATTCTCATTAGATGCTTCCATGGACATGGGTGAGGCCTCCTAAAATAGCAATACCGTGCTCCAATGAGAATGGGAAGAAGAGCGTGAATGAAGGTCTCTATGGATCAGCTTTACTTGGTTAAATTAAGTCATATTTTGAAACAGTGAGAAGCAGAAGGAAGAAAGTTTTTCTGTTTTTCTACAGAAAAATTGGAAAGTTCCACCCCTGGAATATAATGACGTTACTCTCTCCCTCCCTCTTTCTCTCTCTCATACATGGCAGCTTACTGAGCTCTGTATGTCTGGGTTCAAAGACCAGCAAACACCAATTGTAATCTCCAACTCACAGAAGACTGGTTCCTCATTGGTTATTTTCCCCCATTACAATGGGAGAAAAAATAAATAAAAAAGACATGCTTGCTAACAAGAGAAAAAAAACACAAAGCAGAAAATTGAAACTGGAATCTCAGAGGGCTCTTTGTAAACTAAACCTCCTTTCTCTGTTGCTAACAGAGTCCTTTCCTAAATCTTTACAAGGAAGGCTGAGATTATTTTTTTTTCACCTGGCTGAGAGAGCTGGGGAAGAGGCTTTGACTTTCTGCTCTAGTTTAATGACTGACATGAGTCATTGACATTAATACTAATCCATCTCCTATTGAGTTTGTGTAAATTTATTCTCCTCCCGGCTCTTTAAAACCATGACACTGCTAAACTGCTCAGAACAAAAACAGAAGATCTGCCTCTTTTGCACTGTAGATGTCTCTTCCATGTGCCAAATGTGAAGATTAGATTCTACCAATGAAAGCCAAATAAATTTAAAAAAAGAAAAAGCTATATTTGGTAACTACATGGGTTAGATGGGCTTTCCTAATCTGTGTGAGGTCAATCCAAGGGATGTTTACATACTGTAGATAACCTACTTGAACAAATGCAGTATTATAGACCAATAAATGGATGTAAGAAAATTACATGTATAAGTTTTGTATATTTGTTAATTTTGGTAATAAATATGATGTACTGCATACAGTACAGTACCTTAGCACCTCTTTTAATAAAAGTTAAACAGAAGGGAAAGTCTGATGGCAATTTATTGACTATCTTGCAAACAGCAGTTAGTGCTTATCTGTGGCTTTATTGTCACCTGCCTCGGGCACTAAGAAGAAGAAATGGTTTGTCAGCACTGCATCGAGGATACAAGCCTTCAGTTTATAGGTTTGAGCAGACTGCCTCCTGCATTTATTGGCACTGGCTTGGACAGTGCCCTCAGCAGTGAATCAGCCCATGCCCAGCCCATCAGAGTAGTTAACATTTCTGACCCAAGGAAGTATGTTTTCTTTTTTAACATTACAGCTGGGTCAATAAGAATCTCAGAAACTAGTTACACCGCCCTAAAAGAAGCTCATGCCTTCAGAAACATGACAAGACAGTCCACAACACACAATAGTCATTCATGGTCCATTCTACTCTGCAGATGAAGTTTTGAGCCTGGATCTTATCTTGTTTACCTGTATAAATGGGGACAACAGGAAATTACACTAATGCAAGTTTCATGAAAGGTAGTAAAAAGCTTCTGGAGCAGAACAGTCTGCAGTTTCTTTCTAGCTAAGACCAGCATGTCAAGGGAGCTGATCCTGCCACTCTGCACTGCAGAGGCCTACAGAGGAGGGAAGGCTTGAAACCTTCCCCAGTGATCTCAATACTGCATTTCTTTATCTGGGTTCCCAGAAAGCAAGGCATCTCCCGCCAACATCTTGATGAACAGCTGTAACTCCCGTATCAGCTACATACTGACAAGGGAATCTCATCTTGCTGGGTTGGATACTCATAGTGCTGCACATGCTTCTTCAAAAGGGTGCACATTCCAGCAAGGAGGTTAGGACTGCCTGGATATATCAACTGCCACCACGTCCACTGCTCAAATAGATACACAGCAAATACAAGTTGGTCAGACTCCCTTTTAAATAAATAATCATTTTTACTTAAGGCAGGATGCAAGATCACAGTGTTAGTCTGGTGCACAGCTGTGGGAAAGACTCAGACATAACACCTGTCAATATTCCATTATTAATGCGTCCCTATCTACAAAACGGAGATCATGGCCTGCTCTACATTAGCTATTCAGCCTGCAGGTTCAGGGGAGCAGCTCTCATTCTGTGTGGACAAGGGCTATTACAATGTATCAGAATCATAAAAGGAAAAAAAATGTGCTTTTTAGCTATGCTTGCAGTTACATTCTCCCTGCCAAGCTCAGCCTTCAACTCATTGTCCAGTCTCCGCATGTAAACTTTGTTCTAGCATTTAAAAGCAAAACACAGCTGTGGTGTAATACCTGATCAGCTTGATGCCATTAAACAAACAGAATGCCAGCCTTTTACTTTTGTTTATAGCATCATTACTGGGAACAACTCATCTCTCTTGCTGTATTTGTGCTTCAGAGCCCATATTTGGCTTTTAAATCTGACCTAGTTTTGGCTGTTAATCTTCATGGAGAGTCTGTGGATGCTACCGATGGTAATCAATACACTACAAATACTGGAGCATCTCCCTTTGCTGAAGATGAGCAAAGGGAGCGGAAGCTGCAGTACGATTGCACTATCGCACATAGGAGGCCCTGCCTCCCTCACTTCTTTTGACTTCATTAGTGCTCCACAGAGTTAATTATAAAACCATAGAACGGCTTGGGTTGGAAGGGAATGTAAAGCCCACCCAATTCCAATCTCCTGCTGTTGGCAGGGTTGCCAGCCACCAGCTCAGTCCGCCAGGGCCCCATCCAGCCTGGCCTTGAGTGCCTTCAGGGATGGGACATAAATGAAATCCACTCCAATCCTACAACAGCTCCAACAGCATCACTCTGAAAATGGAAAAAGCTCCACTTTCCCTGCAGCAAGAAACAGGGAGTGTTTGCAGAGCCTGGTGACATTTTCTAGTTGTTTGGATGGACTGAGTTTATAAACACTTTTGTGGCTGGAAGTGCCTGCCTTTAAATCTAATTTGTTTTAACTATCCTCAGGATTTCCCTCAGAGCTGCTTCAATTGATGCTGTTAAGAGGGTCTTGTTATGCAGGGGACATGCAAGGTCATGTTCACAGTAAATAATAAGCCTGCATTCACAACAGACCTGTTAAAGGGCATGATTAACTCCCAAGACCTGTGCTGGAGTGGGTGGGATTCATCTAGAAGTACCAATATCGGAGGGAGTCGGGGTCAAAATACATCTGACCACAAACTGAAACCACATGGAGACCGCTGTTGCATGTAATCCCACCACTGAATACTGGCTTGTGGGACCAGTGATGAGGTGATGACAGTCAAGGCACAGGGGCACAAAGCTGATGTGTGTGAGAGGACACAGAAACAGCTCATGTGGAAAAAGGGGGTGCAACATCTCAGGCTTCAGAAGATGCAGAGGTGGGCCCCATATTCCAGGAAGAGCAGGAAGCAGCAGGGAAACTGCTGCCTTGTCTTGAGGTTTGGGGCACAGTGGGTTGAAAATGCTATTTAAGAGGTTTGAGAATCACAGAAAGGAGAGAAAATGCAGTTATTAATCTGTGTGGATGTTCAGTTTACCCATGCAAAGAGCACATTCAGGATATGATGAAAGAATAACCACAACAGAAAACTATTTGCCCCACTTCACATCCTTCTACCTGAAGAGAAGAGGCAGAAAATGAAGGACTGTCCTACAGTTGTCGAAGCAAATGTCTGAGGATAAAGAGAAAGCTGTGTCTGCAGCAGCTACTTGCTGCTGTAATTTGCAGTGTAAATGAGGATTTTGCAGGGTCACACAATAGAGGGACTCCATGATCCTCCATGGGTCAATGGAGGAATGCCCCCCCCAATCCTTATATCTGTGCTTCCTAATTTCATAGAATCATAGAATCGTAAGATTGGAAATGAGCTGCAAGATCATCTAGTCCAACCATCCTCCCACTACTATTGCTATCACAAACCTCTAAACCATATCTTGTAGCTCCTCATCCAGACACCTCTTGAACCCTGCTAGGGACGGTGACTCCACCACCTCCCTGGGCAGACCATACAGGGCATGAAGATCAATCCCACTTTACTCTAAAGAATAGGTTCATACATGAATCATAACGTATCTTAAGTGATTTATAGCTGATATAACCATTTTACAGATGAGTAATACATGTTGCAAGTCCATCAACAGAAGATTTAATGGATAGGCAATCAGTCAGCCCATGTGACAACTAATTAACCATACATTAAGACCTCTCCCTGTGCCCCATGAATCCTTACAGTGCTGGTGACAAACACAGCCTCGGCACTACACCTTGCAGTGGTAACAAAAGCAAGTGGACCTTGCTATTATGCTCTAGCTCTCCCATTTGCAGCCCAGTGCAAAAGGACACAACAAGCTAACATGGCAGCCAGCCTCATGTCTGGCAGAGCCCTGCTCCACCAGGGCAGGAGGCAAGCAGTTCTTTTGGTCTCAGTATCTGCATGTACACTCTCACAAATGTCAAATATCCCTCACAAAACCCTCCATCTAGCATGCAGTGACTTTGGGATGCTGATACATCTCCTTTGCTCTTGAGTTTTAGTAATTCTACCAAAGTAGTAGTAGTAGTAGTAGTAGTACTTCTACCAAAGGTAAGAGAGGAGGATTATGAGCTGGAAACAAGGAGGGAGGGAGAAAGAGAGGGTGAAGAAAGGAGTGAGCCAGAGGCACACGGGTTTAGGACTGGTTGGATTCTCTTCATTCAGGATGTCCTATTTTCCCAGTGAGCAGCCTGTAGAAAATGCAAGAAGCTGTCCTGCATAAAGAGAAAGACTGCCCTGATAAGCAAGCAAGCTGGCACATGCAGAAGATCGTGACACTGTATGGGAAGGTACAGGTCACAGCCAGGGGTTGTTTCCACTTAGTCCAGAGGTGGTGGGTAAGCCAGAGCAGCTTCTTTAGTGTAAAGGAAGGCCCACGTTTTTTTGAGGCATCATTTCATCGGTTTGTACACCATGGTCTGACAAGTCTTGTAGGTTTGGTGATCCTTAGGAGATCACCAAATATCAGGGGGACACGGAGTCCAAGGCTCCACCTCTGCAGCTCCAAGGACTGGGATCCAGTGACGTGGTGGACAACAGGGAGCTGGAAACAAACATAGCACTATACTCAGAGAACGGAGAGGAAAGGAGACCTGACAGCTGCTGTAGGACCAATACTGCTATCCCAGAGTAGATAGTAATGCATCAAGCCTGGTCAGCAGGACCCACTGCTCTGCTCTTGTTTTCTTGATTTCTCCTCAAAAAATGTAGTAACAAGGCCATATATCTGAAAGCAGAAACAGCAAAAGCTAAGCAAATACTTGCTTGCAGAATTCTTTGTGTCCAAGTTCAGACAGTTAGAAATACCACCAGGAGAAAAGCTGGAGAAAATCTCCTCCTCTGTTTGTTTTCTTTACGGATATCATTGCAATTGAGTATATCACAACATTGTCAACTCATCCAGGCAGCCACTTCCCTTGGGTCTCTGAAAGGCTCTGGAAAACACAGTAATCAATGTCCTGATGGGATCCCATGATGCCCTTGCTCCCATTGAAATCAGCACACTGATTTCAAGGACAAAACTTTATTGCTTACATTTTAAAAGGTAGAGAACCTTTTGTGGACTATCCGTGCTACTGTCCACAGCAATTTCTTCCCTATAATTGCTTCAAAAATCTTTTAACTACCATGTCATTCAGAAAGATTTCACTTAGATAATAAACAGCACACACGTAATATTCCTCAAGGTAGTTTTCAGTGAAGGACAAATATCCCAACATCGTGCTATTAAAGCATCTCTGAGGAATAACAAAACATACAGCCCATCCAGAAAGTTGAAGGGGCAAATCTCATGTAGTGATCCGTTTTCTCCTTGAGTTTGTATTCAATTGATTTTTGATGCAAGTAGTGAAAAAATAATGTTAATCAGTATAACTAATAATAA